CTAGGATGCCATGGCTGACATTAACAGGTGTTACGGCATGCAGAGCTGGAGGTCGGAGCCAAATGTCAGATGGAAGGAACGCAGTGAGAAAGAAGGGGTCGGAGGGTGTGGGAGCAGAGGCACAGAGTGTAGACGACTCTTTCAGAAAAGCTGAGCATGAAAGGAAGAAAGAAGGAGGCAGAGAAGGGTGGATAGAACCAAGTCACTGAGTCTTAGGGTTTCCACAAACATGTGGACACAAGGCTTTTGCTTATATAATAAGAAAAGTTGTGGTGAAAATAGAGGAGGGGTACATTGGATTTCCTTTTTAAATTTCTATTGTCTTAGAGTAAAATTATCACATGAAAACTAGAGAGAAAGAACAGAGAATGCTGGGGTACCAGGAACTAGTGAAAAACATTTCTAGATCGTCAGAGTAGGAATCTCTCAATGTGGGATTGTGAAATGGAGGCTGCCCTGAGTCAAAAGGAGGAAATGTTCAAGGGAAAGGAAAGATAAAGCACCAGCCATTGTGAAGGGAAAAAGGGCTGTAAATGATGGTAACACTTGGCAGTCCCTCCCTGGGACTGGGTCCCTGTTAGGGCAGCAGACCTGCCTCAGGGGAGGCACAACTTGACTTGATTTTTTGGGGAAGTGATTGTGTCGGCAAAAAAGGAAAAATCTAGAAGAAAAATCACTTTATCAAATGACTAATGGACCTTTGGTATTTGATCTGGGACTCTCTATTCAGAGGCAAAACAGGTGGATGTAAATCCACATTTTTATATATTTAGAAAACAAATGATCAGAAGTCAAAGAGGAGTCTAATCTCTTCAGCCACCAAACACAGCAGTGTAGTTTTATGTGTTGTATTCTCATGAATAAGATGTTGTTTTCAAATTCCAGTTTCATGTGAAACCAGAACAGCAGTTTATACAGTTCCCTCAGAAACCGAGCATCGTGTCATGGTTTCAGTCTTGTGTTCTGTCTGTGCTCACCAGCACACTCACGGGTGAAGTTGCACATGCGCACAACTGCTGGTGGACAGTGGGCACCTATAATCATATAAATGCCTAGAAAACGTCTGGGAAGAATCCACGCCAAACCGCTAGCAGGGGCGCCCTGTGGGCAAAGCAGGGAAGGGAACTGAAATTAGGGATAATGGTTAGAAGGCACTTGAGTTTTACCTGCAATATTAATTTTTTTGCAATATAAATGTATTAATTGTATATTTTAAATTTTAATTTAAAAATTATGAAAAAAATCAGTAATAAGTTGCTAATTATTTTCTGGGAAGTCAAAGAAGGTTATTGTCTGGCAGAGGGAAGGGTGAACAGGATATAAGTAATGGAGAAATCAGTGTGTGGTGTTTGTCAGATGCTTAAATGCAGTGAATGCCTCCAATAAATCAGAATCCTTTATATTTGTCCTCAGTTCTCTCTTGAAAAGAATTCACCCTTCCTTTTGCTCTTCTTGATACCTGTGTTTCTTCGAACAGCTGTTCTGTGAGCTAGAAGAACGGTCTCATCTTTGAAAGGGTCATTTTCCTCCTAATGATAAATATCAAAATGGTAGCCTTTCCTATTTTTATTAATCAAATGGTAACGCATGAAGCTGTAATTCAGAGGACTGAAGAATGAGCGGAGAATGAGGAGCGGGTTGGATGGAAGGGTGAAATTCTCCGGAGGTCCTGAGAGAGGCTACAAGGGCTCACTTTGGCAGCTCTGACCTGGGCATGGCGTGAGGGGAGGGCTGGGCTCAGAGCTTCAGGAGGGTGAGAAAAGTAGTCTGGAAGGAAGACTTGGCAGGTAGTCAGTCGGTGAGAGACGAGTAAGAAGATTCCTGAGCAGCAGAAAGATCTCAGTTGAGGTTATCAGGAGAGAATTTGCCAGGAATCAGTTTGGTCTTTGTTGACTTTCCCCAGTGCGTCCGGGTAGCTCAGAAGCATGAGAGGAAGTAACCTTCCCCCTGGGGCTGGAAACGGGTGAACCCCCAGCAGAATAAGAGCAGGGAGATGAACATCAGCACGCTGCTGGGGCAGCTTTCTGGGGGCGCTGGCGGTGGAGGAGCGCGCCACTCCAGGGCTTGGCTGACGGACCGGGGGAAGACGAGAGAGGAGAACGAGGATGTCCTGTTGCAAGAGAGAAAGGAGGGCTGTGAGCAGCAACAGAACAAAAGAGGAAGGTGAAGAAGGTTCATTTTGCCATGCCTACTAGACTGTAATTTCTCTGAGGGGAGGAGCTGATTGGCATTCTTTTTTTTTATTTATCACAGCACTTGTTCAATAGATTCTTTTACCAATGAATGGGAACCAATGAATGGGAACAGTGATCTCACTAGGTAATCTCCCCACTAAGCTTCGAATTTCTTGAGGGCAGGTCCTGTGTCTTGCAGACTGATGTATCAAAACTGTGCAGGGAAGATAAGAGGAGTTTGCAGGTCCGCAGTAGTTACTGAATGCACAAACAGATCTTTTTGAGCTCTGATTTCTTCATCTAAAATGAAATTTCTTTTCTAAAATGAAAACCACAGTACCGACTCCCGTTCCCGAGAAGAGAGGAGGCGTACCTTGGAATACTAGACAAGACTGCTCTTAAAATGTGCCAAACCAACTCTTCAGCGTATTCATTTAAATTCCTCAGTGGGCAGCTGATTCCCCATGGCTAATACTGTCTTCACTCGTGGAGGGAAATGAGTCAAGCAAACGGAATTGAAAATACACACACACACACACACACACACACACACACATACACAAACTTGGCCATAGATTTAAAAAAAATCTTTTAATCTTCTCAGATTCTCCTCTATCTTCTCAAATTCTCCTCACTTCTTTTGTCTTCACCCCTCAGCCTCCAGTCCATACAACAGTCCCTCTTTTGACCCAACATCCATGACAGATTCAAAACAGTTGCGCCCTGGGGGTTGGCTACTGCTTAACAGGTAGTTATAAGCCATTCCGTGGTGCTGAGATTCCAGCTAGCTGAGATGGCCTGAAGAAGCTAATTAAAGCAGCCAAGAAGACTGTTTAAAGATGAAAATGTAAACACCGTCTTCACTGGATAGAGTGATTAGAAATTATACTTGTTTGTTTTTTTTGTAAGAACCATCCGTGGTTTGTCAAAATTTTGACATGTGGCATAACCTGCCGCTAATCAAAAAGAAGAAAAACAAACCAAAAAAAAAAAAAAAGAAAAAGAAAATTTAAGACCGTGAGTAGGAAAACAGACATAGAAAACTTCCAACTTTCCAAGTGGGAGAAATATTTAACTTGTTTTTCTAAAACAAATCTGATCTGTTTTTTGGACAAAGTCTGAGCACCTTAGTTTGCCTTGACAGATATGCCCTCTCTCCGTTCGGAAGAACTCAGCAGTGGGAGGTCCAGGCAGCTCAAAGTGGGAAAAGGAGCCATGAGGATGTAGATGAAACAGCAGAGTTAAGGATAATCAAGTTGCCACACTCAAGTACTTTGTTGAAAAGAAGCCCAAGCTTAGTTTTTTTAGTGTATCTAGGGAGTCATTGACTTACGGAAACAAACTGACGGCATTAATCTTCAGGTTATACTATATAACTGTAAATTATTTTTTCTAAAATGTATGCATTTAAATGTACACTGTCTAAACATCTAATGAAGAAAATAATATTTTATTAATGTGGTATTTTACTAATATGGGAAATGCATAGAGGGGCATTTTGAAAAAAATATTTACTGTCTGTACTTCTCCTCTACCGCTATTGATTTATTTTGAATATTCTGCACTAAAAAAATGAAAACTTAGAAGCAGAATAATTCTCCCTCAAATCTGGAATGGTTCCTGATATATAACATGTACTCAAGAATAGTTATACAAGGAGAGGAAGAGAGAAGGAAAAACTGGAGTATCTTAATGATGTTTCCACCACGAATGTTGCTAATTCTGTATGTGGATAACGATTGGTATGGAAGTTCTTATTGCTGATGTCGTCTTAAGTCCCAGCGGCACAAGGCATTGAGCTGAGCATTTGTGTCTTTGTTTACAGGGAGCATCTGCTTCTGGGCAGAGTATTCCTTAGCAGGATTCATGCCAGCTCAACACTTAGAAAAAATTGACATGAATCTGAGTTTCAGAGAAGTATTACAGGGAATTAAAACAAAACAAAATAACAAAAACAGAAGTCACAAGAGTGCGATGTACGACATGAGCAGAGAGTAAAGACGAGGGAGGGACGAGGGCATTGCTGTGCTTGTCTTGGTGATACGGCAGGCAGGACCAGAAACATCAGGCACCGCTGCATCTTTGGAGCATCAGTTACTCAACCCATCTCCCTCTCTCAATCCTCTGTGCCCCCAAGTCATTTCCTAGGCACCAGAAAGGGGTGGGAAGTGGTACGAAAAAGGAGAAAAAGCAAAGGACTGAACTTACAAAATTTGCCACTAATAATAATAGGAAACACCCATATACTGCTTACTTACTTACTGTGCCAGGCACTCTTTGAGTTCTCTACCTGTACTAGCTAATTTAATTCTCACAGCAGCCCTACAGTTATTCCCACTGCACAGATGAGGAAGCTGAGGCACAAAAAGATTAAAAGTATGTAAGGAGTAGAACCATAATTTGAACCCAGGTGGTCGACCTCAGAGCACACCCCCTTGTCTGCTACTCAGATGCCCAGCTGGAAGACGACAGGGATTTGGAATTAAATCCTTTCAAATTCCCTTTCACGTAATCAAATCTAGGCTTCTACCTCACATTTTGGAATGCGATCTGTGTGGAGACCCAGCCCCTAGCAGGGTGCCTGTCCCTGTGTACAGTCTCGGTAAATACTTTTCAAAGGAAAGGATGTTTCATGTCAATTTGTTGTAGAACTCTTTGGGACATATTGAGCTCACAAAACCACAAAATCCTAAATTGATGGAGCTTAAATAGCCTAATTTTTGCCTCAGTGCAGCCTGAGAAGGTGATTGTGCCACTTAGAAAGTACATCCCGCAGAATTTCATGGTAATGATAACTGAAAGATCTCCTCTCTTTCTCAAAATAGCAGACGGTGCTGATGAGAACCCGGTGGCTTACCTGTCCCTAAACAACAAACCATCCACAGAAGGTCTGACAGAGAGGGGAAAAAAAAAGACTGAGGCACAGAGAGGAAACGAACCGAGGCAACATCACTTCACAGCAACCGGAAGGAAAAACACACACACACGCCACTCAGTCTACGTGTGCGGTTGCTCAGTAAGGAAATGCTCACAGCTGCCTTCAGAAGCAAGTCTGGAAGAGAGAGAAGCACAGGACTGAGCTGCCACCTCCTGCCTGCCTTCCCAGAGGGAGGGCACGGACACCAGGGAGGCCAGATGACCCAGCAGCAGTGGTTCCGCCCTGGGTGAGTCTCTGATGTTTGCTGTGGCCTCAGGGGAGGGGCTGGGGAGGCTCACTCAGACTCTGCCGTCCTGAGTTGGTGTCAGACATCTGGTGGTGTTTCCCACTGTGAACGCCCTTATCTGCAGCTGGGAGAGACTTAACATGCCCCAAAGGAGGAAAGAGTGACTCCAGGTTTCCTTCAAGTTGACCTGGAGGCACTGGCTTCAATGCAACCTAAAACGTCTGCTGTTTCTACATTTCAAATCTTGCTGGGTAGGTGCTTCCTGGTGTGCAAAGTACATGGCCCCTCCCCCTCCAACCGTCCTCAGAGAGCTTACCTGGGGTGACCCCGAGCTTTTACTTTCCCTAAATTATTTCAGAACTTCAGAGTATGGGCTACCACTTATACTTTATGGTGGATTAGAATCATTTATCATGTTGTTTTCATCCTCACTGAGAATGACTAAGGGGCAAGAAATGGTGGTTGAGAACTAGACCAGTGTATGTCCAGCCTCTGCAGAGGAGGGGCCATCGGTATCCCCACTGTTCTGCGTGTCCACACTGGGCCCCCGCAACGGCTCCATCCTACTTTTCTCTGTGTGTATGTATTCATTTAATTTGTTCATTCATTCAGTTGCCTTTCTGCGGCAAAGGACTAGAGGCAACTTTTTTATCTCAATGAAATTACTTCAAAATGAAGAACATACAGTTTAAAGGGGGAAAGCCCTTCTGAAAGGGGTAGACACTGCTGAAAGCTGCCTGGAGACTGGTGAGCAGCCTCGACCCTGTGCTAGTGGCAGTGAGGGTAGGGGCTCTGGCCTCGTCAGCTCCTTGGAGAGCCCATCCTGTCCCCACTAGAAGCTGGGTTCCCACCCAGAAGTGGGAGTGAAGAACATCTGAGATTCCTGGGAACCAGCCAAGTGATTTTCCTCCCTATTTCTGTTACCTCCCAAGTTTGCTTATTTCCAAGGACATTCCTGTTCTGAGAATGGGGGGAAATGGGGCCATGGAAAGGTTGGGATATGAAATCAGCTCCACCGCTTCTCATTAATGAGTTCGTTAAATTATTGAACAAGTGTCTAGTGAGTATGCCTGGTATTGGTGGCCACTTTTAAGTCAAAATTTATGTAAGATGGAGCAAAAGTGACATTGCCCTGTCCTACCTCCCAAAAGCTTACAGTCCAGGGGAGAGGCAGACATTAATTAATAATTACACAAATATGATGAGGACCAGAGCACACTGCAGGGGAGCTGGATCTGTCTGGGAATCAGGGAGGTTTCCGTAAGGATGGCAATGATGAGAACTGGGAAAGGAGTAGGAGTTCACAAGGCAAAGGGCTGACTAGGGCCAGGCGGAGGGAGCAGCTTGTGGCAGGTCCTGAGGTGGGAGACTTGAATTGTCCAGCTAGATTAAGGCCAGTGTGGTCAGAAGGAAGAGGTGTGGGATGGCTCACGATGAGCCTGGAGAAGAGGCAGTGTTGAACATGCTGCTTATTCTCAATTCTGTGGAGAAGCTTGGGGTTGTTGTGGTCTGATCTGTGTTTTTAAGGAATCCCTTCTGCTACAGTGTGGAGAATGGATGGGAAGGTCACATCTGCTGATGAGGAGACCAGTCAGAAGGCTGATTAAGTCAGTCAAGCAAGGATATCAGTGGAGCACAGATAAGAAAAGGGTGGTAGATAGAAGTAGGCAGACGAAAGAGTCACCTAGAAAGGAAAGTCGACAGGACTTGGTGGTAGACAGGGGAGGAGGTCAAGGGGGAAGTACTGAAGAGGATCCCATTTCCTGGTTTGGGCATCCAGCTGGATGTTGATGCTGCTTGCTGGTCACGGAGACTAGAATCGTTGGCGAAAGACCAGGCCTGGTGTGAGTTCGGTTCTGGAATTGATGATTTTGGAGGGCCTTGAACACATCCAGAGGCAAATGTCAGCCAAGCAGCGGACATGCTGGTCTAGAGTTCAGAGCAGAGGTCTGGGCGTCCTCAGCCTGTAGATGCTGACTGGTGCTGTGGGCGTGGATGCAGCACCCTGGAGAGAGAATATCAGATGAGAAAAGTGGCGGCAGGGAGTGGTTTGGCTGAGGACTGAACCTCACATTTAAAGCTTAACATTTAAATAAGTGGAGAGGAGAATGGGCTCTCCAAGACCAGGATAGTTTCCTGAAAAGTTAAACACAGAGTTACCACATGACCCAGTAATTCCACTCCTAGTTAGACACCCCAAAGGACTGAAAACTGGGGCTCAGATGAGTATGTGCGATGCGTTCATAGCGGCCCTAATCACAGCCACCAAAAAGGAGAAACAGCTTTAATGTCCATCCACAGATGAATGGATAAATAAATTGTAGTATATCCTTGCGATAGAATATTACTCAACCACAGAAAGAATGAATTACTGATACATACTACAACACATATGAACCTCAAAAAACATTGTACTAAGCTTAAGAAACGAGGCCCCAGAAGTATATGATTCCGTTTATATGAAATACCCAGAATAGGTCAGTCAACAGAAGGAGAATGCAAACTGGCGGCTGGGAGCGGGGAGCTGTGGGGAACAACTGCTTAATGGATATGGGGTTTCCCTTTGGTGTGAAAACATGTTTAGAACTAGATGGAGGTGGTAGGTGTGCAGCATTGTGAATCTATTGAACATCACTGAATTGTTCTCTTTAAATTGGCTATTTTATGTTATATGAATTTCACTTCAATATTAAAAAAAAAAGAAAAAAGAAGACTAGAAAGGTGCAACCAGAGGGGCAGGAGAACACATACTATGTGACTTTGGTCAAATAACGTAAGTTCTAGTGCCTCTTCCTCTCTATGCAAATAAGGGAAATCAATCTCTATCTTGAAGGGCTGTGGTCAGGATTAAACGTTACAATAATTTTCCTAAGTATCTAGCAGAGAAGGTGTAGTAAGGAGAAGCAGTCAGTCCTGCCCGCATCCTTCAGGCCTCGCCAGGACTGGGCTGACTTCTAAGGTCTGACTCTTCATGTCCTGAGCTGAGGCTTTCTCCAGGCCGGGGAGGGCTACTGTGACTCTCAGTGGACTGTAAATGCCGCAGCTCCCCCTGGGCTGAGTGGAATAACTCTAAGACAGGTCTTCTGCCTTTTCTTAAGGTTCCACCCGGGTTTGGCTCCAGTCTCCCACAGTGGTAGCTGACTTGGTGATGTGCCCTTTACAGCTCTCCTCTGTCCTCTTGTCACTCCCCTCCCCCGCCCCATTCAAGGGCTGTGTGCAGGAGGAGCCTTCTCACCCTCTTCGGGAATGTCCCTTGGAGAAAGGCTCAGGCACCAACTAGCACAGGGGATGCCCCTTTAGACTTGCCATGCTCTGTGCAAAGCTGCGCCGCATGAAGACACATGACTACAAACCCCCTCCACCTTCCCTCTGCTTCTCTGTCTCCCCATAACTCATGTGATCAAAATCTCCAAAGTGTGGGACACAATATGATAATTTGATATGGTACTCGATACACAGATGTGTCATTTAATCACGATGAGTCACTAGACTTTGTCATAAGGAGAAAACGTTTCCATTTCACTCTTTAGAGCCTTTGATTTAGGCCTGATCTAAAGACCCCTAACCTGTGGCCGTTTACCTTTTTCACAAGGAGAAAGTAGACCTCAAGCTTTCAGCCGTCAGCAGGCAGTGGTAGCTCGCTAAACTTGAGTAGCGCAGCTTCGTCTTCCTGTATTTGTTTTTTATGATTACCTTCTGTTAACAACAATGACACTGGTTTTTTATTTGGCATGAAAGCTTTTTTTTTTTATTATACATGTCTTTAAGTTAAAAAAAAGTGAGTCTATTTCCTTCTTTTCCTTTGTGTGTGTGTGTGTGTGTGTGTGTGTTCTTCCAGTTTTGTTGAGGAATAATTGACAGAGCACTGAATAAGTTTAAGGGGTACAGCATAATGATCTGACTTACACACAGCATAAAATGATGACCACAGTAGATGGAGTGAACGCCCATCACCTCATGTAGATACAACGTTAAAGAAATAGAAAAAAACTATTTTTTCCCTAAGATGAGAACTCCTAGGATTTACTCTCTGAAAACCTTTCACTTATAATGTAGAGCAGTGTTAATTACATTTATCATGCTGTACATTACATCGCCAGTACTTTTATCTTATGACTGGATGTCTGTACCTTTTGACCACCTTCATCCAACTCCCCCTCCCCTCACCACCCTAAAAGTGAGTTCATTTAAAGAAAAGAATCATATTACTCATGGTACTGGCCACACCCTTGATGTGGAAGCCCTGGCAGGTGGGACCTGACTGAAAGAAGACTGGGCAGAGCACCACAGAGCAGGTGCCCCTCAAGGGCACGGCTGCCTCCCATCCCACCCAGTGCCTGCCTGGTGTGCCCTGCAGGGCCAGGAATGGTGCGACGTCCCAGGCAGGACGTGTCCAAGCCATCCCCGTGTGCTGCAGGCCTTCTTGGTCATCACGATAAACAACCTCACTGTGCCCACGTGGCTCCCAAATGTCCAGGCAGTGATGGACAAGACTGCTCGAAATGGGCACACCCCAGACTCCACTGTTGGTGGTTCTGCCCTAAGGACGAATTCTGGGGGTTCAGGAGTAGCTCACCTGTGATGAAATGAGGTGAAGGTGGCGGCATCAATGCACTGACATTCCTTTTCTCATTCACGTCAGAGGAGAAGCCTTGGCCAGAGGAGGGTTACAACTCAGCTAACTCTCTGCGTAATTTCTCTAAGCGGCTGTTCTTCCCTAAGCCCCTCCCTCCACTTTCCCAGGTGATAGATGAGGGTTAATAACCCAGGTAAATGTCACCTTAGAAACTTTTAAAATAATGTGAAACATTTCACACTACAAAGAGGTATGTGTAATGTATACGTACACTTCCAAACAATAGTAAAAATAAGAAAACAAGTAAGTGTTTACTCATTGCCCACCCTCCCAACCCTTGAAGGGAACTGCTGTCTTAAACTGTGTGTTAGTCACAGTCCATCACTTTTCTTTTCAGATTGGCCTCTTGTGTCTATATGGAAAT